CCACTACACTATCGACGATTTCGACATCATGCATATAACATGTGATCGATAAAGCAGTCGGTGTACTTAACCGGAGCTTCTACCTCCGATTTGTGTTAATCAGACATTGAACAACCGGCCCTTAGACCGTGTAAAACTCGGTAAGTTTACGCGGCTTTTATGGGAAGGCCCCCTTTGTGAAGCAATTTTTGTTTCGTTGTATTTCTCATAACATCCCGCCATCTTGTCTCTATCGCTCTTGGCTAAAAAAAAAATTTAAAATTCCGAAAATTAACAGAAAACCTAAGTCAATATAGTTAGTGGATGAAATTTATTAATTTTAATCGCATATTGTTTTTTCATTTGTTTTCATTATTTTATCTTACATTTTAGTATAAAAATTTCTGAACAACACAGAGCAACATTGAAGTTTACGAGGTCGTTCACGCATCAAATTTGCCTCGTAAATTTACGAGGGGCTCGTAAATGGAGCTCCATACAAATTTTGACAGTTCCTTTACGAGGCTCGTAAATTTACGAGCTTTACGAGGTTTACGAGGCTTTTACGAGTTTAAAGGAAGATCCTTAATACAAATAAATTTAAGTAGCACATACATAAAAAGAAAGCTAAGTTGCAATTGCATCATCGGCGTCTTTACTATCCATCTTTACGCTATAACGACAAGGTAAAATATGAGCCGCTCACCGTCTATGGCAAACGACAGGGAGCATGTTGCGAGCCAGCTCGCGCACTTGTTCGTCGTGTGTGGCCGCGTGTAAAGCCATGTGCGATTTATATTAGTAGAGGTAGAAATCCCGAAAGGAAATTCGCCTTGGTATCGATACGAGTATGTTTTTCGATACGTACTCAGTACCAGTGTTGCCGTTGTGATCCATACACTTCAAAAGTGATATGGGTTTGTTCAAATTTTCGGAAGATTTCGGGGATTCCCTTAAATTCGTGAAGTTTCATGGCCGGTTGTTCAATGTCTGATTAGCGCCGGTTAAATACAATGACTGCTTTATTGATCACATGTTATAGTCAAGTGTGATAACCAGACATTGAACAACCGGCCCTTATACGGCTTTTGCACGCCACCTCTATTACGTAGTTCGCTCTCTCATTCGTAATTCGCACTCCAGTTACCCTTCGAATTACGCAATTCGGTATACAAAATTTTGAGAGCGAATTATCTTATTTGTTGGTAATTCAGATCCAATTATCATGCAAATTACGAACAAATCGGTGCCGCCTCTAATTTTTAACAGAAATTTATCGAGACTAGCTCACAAATCAATACTAGCATATTGACATAGTGCAGCGAATTTAAATTCAGCTTCTCCGCTGGCTTGGCGATGTCGTTCGGATGGACAGAAACGCTCCTGCTCTGAAAATATTCAACGCGGGCCGCGATGCTGGTAACAGAGGAAGAGGAAGGCCTCCTCTGCGTTGGAAAGACCAGGTGGAGAAGGACTTGGCTTCACTTGGCATTTTCAATTGGCGTCAGTTAGCACAGAAGACAAATGACTGGCGTGCTGTTTTGGACTCGGCCAAAATCGCTTAGGCGGTTTAAGCGCCAAATAAGAAGAAGAAGAAGCTCACAAATCAATACTAGCATATTTGCTGAGTTCGAAAAGTAAAGTTTATCAATGTGTAAATCCCTTATTTAATACGGAAAGTTATACATTTTTAGGAAAAACCTACATTTTGTACCAATTTTGAAGCGAAGAATAACAAAAACAAAACACAGAGACAGAGAACTGTCAAATCGAATGAAGAATATACCCGTGGGAATGGAATAATTTGCGATTCTAATTGGGGGAGCGAACAAAGAAATTCAGGACGGCGTGTGAAAATGGTATTAAACCGTGTAAAACTCGTTAGTTTACGAGGCTTTTATGGGCACGCTCCCTTTGCGAAAAGGTGTAAATAGGTGCGTAAAGTGACTGTTTGACAGACCCACCAGGATTTTGTGAAGCAATTTTTGGTTTCGTAGATTTTCCATAAAATCCCGCCATCTTGTTTCTATCACTCTTGGCTAAAATACCATTAAAAATGCGGAAAACTAGCAGAAAGCCCAAGTCAATACAATTAGTGAATCAAATTCATTCATTTTATTCGCGTATTATTTTGTTCATTTATTTTCTCATACATTTTAGTATAAAAATTTCGGCGCCTGGGCAACACTGAAGTTTACGAAGTCGTTTGCGCATCAAATTTGCCTCGTAAATTTACGAGGGGCTCCATACAAATCTTGACAGTTATTTTATGAAGCTCGTAAGTTTACGAGATTTACGAGGTTCACGAGGCTTATACGAGTTTAAGAGAAGACCCCTACCTTATTTTCTCGCTAATTTCGCGAGATACTTTTAAATTTTTCACGTAGTACAAATTTTAAAACATTTTAGTGAGAAAATATTTATGTATGCATGCTGTACAGCTTTCAAAATGCGATCAAAAATATTTAAACCTTAAGTTTAAAGAAAAATTCTTTAAATGAACTATGTATAAAGTTCTGATTTCATTCATTTATAATTTAGAGCGTTTATTTTCAGATTTAAAATTGATCCAATATGAAATGAGAAATAGCAATTTATTACAAATTGTTGAGAATCTGTGGAATGTATCATGTGTATACGTGTGTATTTGATAATTAACGTAAATGATCGACAGTTAATAGTTTTATGTATGTGTGTATATATGTTTGAATTCAATTTCCTATAAAATCTACACATAATATTTTTGTTCGTCTCTATACAAGATTAAAAACAATAATCTCTTTTTTTGTAGATAGTCACGATATGTAAAATATTTGTATTAATGTATGAATTACATGATTTTTTCGGTTATTGGCAATAATAAAAAGTAAAGGTACGAAACCAAATAGCATTTTTTAAGTTTTTTTTAACTTGATACTCTGATACTTAAATACATTGGCCCGTAGTCATAGTCAAAATAAAGTCGACTTTAAAGTTAGTTGCAGCTTTTTGACATAATTTTCAATGGGATATCTGTCAAAAAAAGCTGCAACTAACTTTAAAGTCGACTTTATTTTGACTATGACTACGGGCCAAGTTTTTCTAGTTTAGTTTTTGTTTCTTTTTTCTTTTACGATAAATTTTTTCATGACGACGCGGCAACACTGCTCAGTATGTGGCTCAAAAGTATCGATACCAAAATTACTTGGTATGAAAAATATGAGTTGCGTTCCAGCAGCAGTACGAATAGCAGGTTTTGCAGGATTTTACAGGATTTACAGTAACAGCTGTTTTCGCCATTAATAAACCTTATGTAAAGTGTCGTGCGGGAACAGCTTTCTGTAAAATCCTGTAAATTCCTGCTATTCGTACTGCCGCTGGAGCGCAACTATGGGCCCTGTCACACGGTCAGTAATTATCACGATATTTGGATCGCGATCCATATTGATGGTTTGATGGAGCGCGCACGTATGCTACATGTTCAATATTTCCGCGTCAGTACTTGCATAATTTTTGTACTGAACGCTTATTATGATGCAAGAAAATATTTTTATTTTGTATGAATAATTTGCGGATAATGCATTCCACAATTATTTTAAAGTCTCACATGTTAATTAAAAATTTCTCTATTTGTTTTGAAAGGTTTTAAGCAACGATAACGAAAGCATTGCGAATACGTCTTCGATGTTCGCATTATGAGAGTACAAGATGTACTGACGAAATGTGTGGATCGCGTTTTGAAAGTGCTACACGTTCAATATTTATTGACGGTATTGCGATCCGCGATCGAGATTTTAAAATTTATAAAAATTTTGCGTTATGGATCACGATCCATCAATACTGCATGCTACACCGTCGATAAATATCGCGATACTTGGATCACATCAATAAATACTGGCTGTGTGACAGACCCTTTCAGACACGTCAAGTCTGCTCGTGCGTTGGCGAAGGAGGTGGGACGAATGTACTTTTCCCCTCTCTGCTCACCTCTTTCGCCAACGAACCGAGCAGACTTGGAAGCAAAACTTGACGTGTCTGAAAGGGGTCACAGTGCTCAATGGAGTAGGAATTTTCGATATCGTATCGATTATACTGAATATCGATATTTCATGACACGATAATCGATTTTTTGAATCGATATCCCAAGGTCGATATATCGAAGACATCGATACTCTACCCGCAATATCGATATTCAAGTTGAAATTTATTTTTCATCTACAAAAAAGTGTATGGGAAAATACTAAAGTAGGTTTAATCAGCAGCTTGTGTGATTTATTTAGCTCTTAAGTTTGACAAACCGCTTGAGTCGTCCGGCATGCCGTTTTAATCCTCAGTACATATATAAATTAGAAATAGCACAATTAGGTGAGTTGATAGGCAGGTTTAATATTCTATTCAATTGGGAGTAGGATTTTCAACATCGATTTTTTCGATATCGAAATTGTTCAGCCCGATATACCCCCATATCGATTTTACATGCAATGAAATAAATCGATTCATGATATCGATACTTTCTTAAATATCGAACATTCCTACTTTGGAGTATTAAACTGGCTACACACGACGAACATCTGCGCGCACATATCCGCCAACATGCTCGTTGTCGTTTGCTACAGACGGCGAGCGGCTCATATTTGATTTTGTCGTGGTAGCGTAAAAATGATTAGCAAAGACGCGGATGATGCGATTGCAATGCTTTTAACTTAGCTTTTTTATGTATGTGTTACTTAAATTTATTTATATTTTACTTGTATGTATGTACATACATATACTTATAGTAATTTAGCCTCATTTATCAAAAATTAAATTAACAAACATGGCTGGGATGTATTTATCCGCCGATGTGCACACTTCAAGCATCAACACAAAATGAGGTTGTCGTTTTTGTTTCCAATGCGATGTTCGCAAACCACGCTACAAACGACGAGCATGCTCGCTGAAAATCAAATTTTTTTGATTTTTTGCTAGCATGCTCGTGAACCGCCCTACAAACGACGTACATGCACCGCAAGACGCTTTTACGCTTTGGGCGCAGCGCAGCTTGTACATAAGTTCGTCGTGTGTAGCCAGTTTTAGCTTGAAATAGTGATTTCAGTGGCAAAAATACATCGATGTTTTTCCTCGCATCAATGCATCGAAACTTACTTAGGGCTTACACCGGGCAATACGATCATGACAATAGCAATACATGCACACTTTTTCACTACTACATGCATACTTTTCCAATTCTGTCAATCACTGTCTTGATTATTTTCATTTGATTTCATTTATTTCGTTCAATACATTAGCGCATCAAGATTTGATCTTTTATTGCGCAATACAAAGAACATTAGAATATTAGAATAAAAGGATATAGAACAAAAATATATGTAATAACGAATATAGAAATATAAATATATAAATATGCAAGAATGAATAAACGTAATGACTAGAGTACAAACAGAAATTGTATAAAGCGTAGAAAGCTAAAGAGAAAATTTATAACCACCTCAATATGCGACTTTATCAGTGAAATATTCAAAGATAAGTTTTTTGAAATTGCCTTCACAAAGCGAGTTTTTTAAAGACAATGGAAGGGAGTTCCAAAGTCTGACTCCATTAACAAAAAAAGTCTTGCAATACTTAAATAATTAAACTTTGGCAATATAAAATTAAAGGTGCGTGTGCATTTGGAAAACTTAAGCTTATCATATAGATATTCTGGCTTTTTATAAACAATCAATTTAAACATAAATATACAATTACGAGCTTTTCTAAAGTTGCTTAGGTCGCAGCCAAGTATCGAGTTTCTGAATGTAGATAAATGGTTAAATTTCTTCAAGCCATATACGTACCTAGTGGCATGGTTAAATGTAACATCGAGTTTGTGGAGGGAATGAGAGTCTAGTTTGCTGTACACTATTTCGAAATTCGTAATTTGAGGAACAATAAAGCTTGAGACCAGCTTTTTTTCGTGTCTGAGGGTACGAAACACTTTTCGAGGCAACACTCTGAGGCAGCGCAAGGTGTAATAAATTTTTCCCACAACTTCATTGATGTGGTATTCACAAGTCACCTTGGAATTTATAGTAAAACCCAACCAATTGAAGCTTTGCAGCTCCAATATAAAGGTGAGTGATGTCAGAAAGAAGTATTTTATCCTTGAATATTGGTAATACATACGATTTTTGAGCATTTAGGCAGAGGAGGTTTTCAGCAGACCATTCAAGAATCGAGCACAAGCCCTCATTAAGCTTACGAGTTATATCCTGAACCATGCTGATATGGTTAGAGATATATAATTGAACATCGTCAGCGTAAGCGTGTAGACGAACATGGGAGCAGGAGTTGAAAATATCATTTATAAAAATACTGAAGAGCAGGGGACCTAGAACGGAGCCCTGTGGTACTCCGCAAGATGTTCCCACCAATCCTGAAAATGTGTTGCCGACTTTAACTTTCTGCATTCTGTTACTTAAATAACTGTTAAGAAGTTTTACTGCATTTACATCAAATCCAAAATAGTCAGTTAATTTGCCACACAGTAGGCTGTGGTTGACAGTGTCAAACGCCTTGGAGAAATCAAGGAGGCATAAAGGTGTTAGGTAGCCTTGATCAAACTCTTGACGCATATCGTCCAGTACTTTTGTGATGGCAGTCGAGCAAGAGCGAGCAGCTCTAAAGCCTGATTGACAAAGGCTGAGTAGGTTATTATTCTCGAACTCGGATATTAGTTACGCCATAAGCATCTCGAAAACTTTCGACAATCCGGTCAGTATGCTTATGGGTCTAAAATCAGCAGGAACGGAAGCACCAAGTTTCTTAGCTAGACGGGTAATGATTGCTACTTTCCATCTGGAGGGGAAAGTGGAGGTAGTGAAGCAGTGGTTTACCAGATGGGTGAGAGAACTTATAATATTTGGTAAAATTAATTTTATAAATTTAATTGGGATGCCGTCGGTGTCAATGGCGCTGGATTTTATGCGGTAAACGCACTTAGCTACTTCAGTTTCAGCTGAAATTTCCTTGAGGGCGATGATCTGGAAGAGGTTGTGAGCTATTATGTACTACGGAAGAATTGGATGAATCAAAAAATGTGTTAAGGAGATTAGGTTCGAGAAAACAAGAAGCTTCAGAGCATGGCCGTACGCCTAACCTTTTCAAATAAGACCATAACTGTTTAGGGGGCAAATCAGTGTTGATTTTGCCACAGTAGTATTTCTTTTTAGCGAGGTGAACAGAAAAGGAAGCATTATTCCGAGCTCGCTTATAAGCATTCCAATTGTCAATATTTGGCCTTCTTTTCCAAACATTGTGTGCGATGTTCCGGTTTTTAATGGCCGCTTTGACTGCGCGGGAGAGCCAAGGACAGGAACGCGGTGCAGGAGTAAGCTTGCGAAGTGGCACGTGCTTATTTAAAAAATAGAGTATGCTTTGAGTTAAGAAGTTTAATTTGTCATCAACCGTGACTAATTGCCAACAATAGTCCCAGGAAAATTGGTTCAAGTCCGAAAATAATCTGTCCAATTTAACTGCATTGTAGTCACGGTAAGAAAAAGCCGTAATAGGAAAAACATTTTGACACAATTTGGACTTAAATGTACAAAAAATTAAATCATGATGGAGACAAAGGACAACTGATCAAATAGAACGACGGACGTGGTAGGGGGAGCAATAAATATATCTAACAAACTCGGACGCGCATTACAAGAAAACCTAGTGAGTATTTTAGAATTAACAATACGCATGCCAGTACATGCAACAGTGTCTATGAAATTGGTCGATGTTGAGTAAAAGGTTATTAGGTTTATATTAAAATCACCACAAACAATCAAATGGTCGTAGTCAATTAACTGAGTTGAAATATCTTCAAAGAAAGGTAGATAAGAAAAGTTTTTATTGGGATTGTACACACATGACACAAGTACTTTAGAGTAAGTATCGGACAGAACCACAGATAAAAACTCAATTTCAGATGTAGATGAACGACTTGCAACCTTAACATCTGAGTAATCTCTACAGTAGATAGCTACACCTCCTCTTTTTTTACATAAACAATCATTTCGGAATAGCTTGTAATTAGGAATGGAATAGAAGCTGTCTGGAATATCAACGTTAAACCAAGTTTCCGTCACGCAGATGACATCGACAGAAAATATTTTAAAGATACTTCTAGCATAATCTGGTTTTTCGTTGTTTAGACTGCGAGCGTTGAAGTGAACAGTTTTGAACCCGTCTACATGTTTACCTAGCACGTTTAACAAGACAGTATGATCAGTCGGCATTGCAATGGTCAACGAAAACAAATGCACGAACAAACAAACAACAATAGAAAACAAATAAGAGTTCGTATGTTAATATTCAGCTTATCAGCATAGGTGCGGTGGATATAAATTGCCTGAACAAAAAGAGAGTGGAAATAAATCCAAGAGGGTTTAACAAAACAAATGCAAAACAGAAGCAATATAAATAGAAAAACACACAAATGTGTAAATTAAAATGTATGTATGTATATATATGTACTGATTTTGGTGGGGAGTACTCTTCACCTCGTCCAATACAACGTTCGAAGCGGTATGACATTATTGGGCGTCGCCCTGCACGGGATTCTGTGACTGAATCTTTCCGTCAATTGCTGATTGCATTGGATCGTAAATATAACCTTAGGCTTTATCTCGTCCTTGCAACGATCTTTTTGGTGTTGGCGTTTATTTACGTTATTTTGTATCAGTAAACACGTCTTTTTGATTGAAATATGTAATTTGTATGTAACAGCATTTATGTTAAAAGTTTTTATTTTAATTTGCAAGTGTCCAAAAAATGTCTAAAAATTCTCGTAGTAAATATCGCTGCTTTTGAAGAGTAACTTAATCGAATATGTATGTAACTATGTTAAATATTAAGTAGCGCGGACAATGTTAAGCAGGTCACTGCTGCTTGGTTTAACTAAACAAATGCAAAACAGAAGCAATAGAAATAGAAAAGCACACAGATGTGTAAATTAAAATGTATGTATGTGTATATGTATATAGCTATGTTAAATATTAAGTAGCGCGGACAATGTTAATCAGATCACTGCTGCTTGGTACAGGAACAGGTTCGCTGCTAGCTGAAATGCGGACGAATACTCTCCCTCGGCGGGAGAATACGCTGTGTACTTGGTTTGTTTTCTTGAATTTAAGAGCAGCTTGCAGAATTTTTCTGTTGTCCGCAGAAAGACTGTCAAAAATGTTAAAGCTGCTGTCACTGTCAAATCCAGCCAGTTTAAGAGAAACAGCGGACTTCCTTTTTTCCGGTAGTGAGAAAACGCAGAGAGAGTGCGATTGCGGTCATAGGTTGAGTGAAACTTAACAACCACAGCACTGTTAGGGCGCTCAGCCGTGCGCTTGGTGCGAAAGATGTCACGAATAGGGGGAGGGGAAAACTCAATAGATTTGCATACGCGTTCGAAAGTGTTGGACAAATTTTCTTCGCTGGCAAACGGAAGACCAAAAATGACAGCATCGGCCGAATGGGCGCTAGTTACTTTTTCGTTTTTGAGTTTCCTTAACTCCTCCCTAACTGCAGTTAGTTCAGCAGACAAACTGAGCGCCCTTCCTCCTCTCCTCCTCCAGCCGATTACACCTACGTTCCACTTTGTCCATACGTTGCGCGAAAGCTTCGATATTCTGCTGCAACTTAGCTGTGAACTTACGCTCGAGTGAAGAAATCTCTTCAGATAGTTGAGAGTAGAGACCGCTAATTCTCTCAGGGATCCTCTCTTTCATCAACAAAATTTTATCTTCTGTTGATTTCAAAGTTGTGAGTATAGACTCAGAGAGGGACCCGTTACTCTCGAGCCGCAGATTTTTTGATGCTGGTGAATCTTTGTTTGCTGATGTTGCTTTACGCTTACCGGCTCCATAAGAAGATATAGGTAGGTTTAATGTAGAAAGCGAAGACAGGTGAATATCAGCAAGCGGCGAGAAGCTTTACTCAGGAACTCAAGTGTATTAAAATAGCAAACCTTTTTCTAAAAAGCGGTTATACCGGGTTAAGCAAAAAGTTTACGGGAGCGCAAATGAAACACGTCCGTCTCTCACAAAGCACAACTCACTTACAATGATTTGACGTATGCAGACAATAATTTTGATGTCTTGTGCAAGAAAGAAGATAAGTTCATAACAAAAGATCTAAAATAACGCTAGAGACGCTGATGTGTTTGTAAATTTGTCTCTTCTTTACAATTTTTTAGTTTTTAGCTTAAATAGCTCGCGCGAAAAGCGTATTATAATACAACGTTCAAGTCCGACATTTTGCTCAAAATGAATTGTCATAACTATTGTCAGGACGCCTACGTTACGGAGACAATGATCAGCGTTTTTGACTACTATGTAATACATGCATCTTAATTGACTTGACAGCATTGTCCAATGTAAACGCGCCGTTACATCGATATTTGTTGATTGTTGTTGTTGTAGCGGCTACTAAGCCCCGCTCGGGTCGGTTCATCTGTCAACGTTGTCGTCTGTTTCAGCTAAGGGGAGGCCCAGGAAGTGTGCGACTTCAACAGGGTCTGTCCATAAGGACAGGGGCGTCAGCTGGGTGGGGTTCCCAGGGCATGTGAAGAGGTTCCGAGAGTCATGTGGCGACTCTCCACATGTCGGGCATTGGTTGGGCACATCCTCATTAATTCTGCTAAGGTATGAGTTAAGCTGCTGCAATAGCCAGAGTGAAATTGAGCTATTGTGGTGCAGGTCTTCCGAGGCAGATAAAGTTCAGTCCCGTCTAAGCAAACACAGTTTTATACACTTTGTTTCAATGTTCATCAATGTCTTTATTACTTCATGTAAAATTCACTTTCTCCGCGTTCTCATTACTTTAAAATAGGAATTCCAAGTAAGCACAAATTCTGAGCTTTAATGAATAAATTAAAAGTTAAGTAAAAAACGAAAACCGCAAAATATATGATTGGATGTAATCAAAAAATCAGAATATCCACACTCGGGATGTGTATATAGTATCGGCAAAGCAGTCCTAAAGGCCCTTACACACAATACAGCAGTTTGGCTAAATGGGATTTAGCCATCCTGTTCCGCCATGCACTTGTGCAGAATCATTATTCAAAAAACGTCTTGAAGGTCGGACAAGGATCGAATCGCGGAGGCGAGTTCTTTCCTTTTGGTAGCGCGCCGCCTCGATCTCTCGGTCCGTATGTTGGAAACCAAAACTTCGTTTACGAGAAGGGGTTCGGGCGTACCGTACGGAGCGTCGCTGTGCGGACTTGTTCCGGTCTTGTGTCGACCGCTGTGGCGTACGACCCTTCTTCGCGTTTAATGGGGTTCGACTTCTGCGGTTCCTGATCCTCATACCGCCAGGCAGGGACACTTGTTTTACGCAGTTGGGTACGGCTCTTGCCATCCTGCCGCGGGGTGCGGCTTCGACTCGTCCGTCGTAGAGTCTGGTATCTGCTTCCGCGCCGCGGGGAGCGGCTTCTGCTTGCTCGCCGTGGGGTGCGGCTTTTGCTCACGCGCCGGTGTCGGGAACAAGAGTGCGAAAATCCAGCATGGGAATGCATAAGCTTACGCGAGGTGACCTGGTCGTAATCACGACGTCTGGCCTGTGTAGCTCGGGTCTGTAGATCAGTGGGCTTACCTTTCTCGACGAGTAGTATGCTGTAATGGGCGAGACCGTATTTTTGGCAGCTATGCCGCGAGTCACAACAGCCGGTGATGTGGGACCGTGCCAAGCAATTGCGACAGTAGCCTTGGTGCGTGTTGGCGATAGCAGATTTGACAGCGTGTGACCTCGGCGTCGGACACGTTGACTGTAAATAGAAAGGGCTTTAGTGTTGGTATATGATGAGTTGAAAGGCAAAGTGATTGTAATGGAATAATAAAGGGATTTATTAGTTACGAGTACTGCAAAACACACAACTTCACACTCGGACGTGTAAGTACGAACGACTGCGTGCGGACATCTACGACCCGGACATAGCCATCGGGTCCGGGATGAATTTTGATGATGCGTCCTAACCGCCATTCGTTCGGCCGCTACCCCCGTCCTTGATAACCACCATTTCACTTTCTTCGATCTACTTCTGCGGATGTTGCCATTTATAGCGCTTGTGGAGCTCCTTGAGATATTCATCCTTCCATCTACGGCTAAACTTATGATGTGAAGCCTTCAGCTTTTCCCAGTGGTTGACCAGTGAGATGTTTTCCGCGTCGGGTTCGGGAATCGCCGTGAGTGGAGCGCCTCTCAGAAAGTGACCTGGGGTGAGAGCTAAAATATCATTAGGATCATGTGAGAGGGGAGATAATGGTCGGGAATGCCTGCCTCAATACGGGTTAGTAGAGTGGAGAACTCTTCGAAATTGAATTTCTCTTTTTTAAATGGGTTTTAAAGCTTTTGACAACTGACTCCCAAAGGCCGCCCATAAGGTGGGCACCTGGGGGGATGAATACCCAGTCAACTCCTTGAGGGGAATAATTTGATAGAATGTCCTTGGAGACTTCTTTCGGAAATTCCGGAAATTCCGGAAATTCTCTGCTGAGAGCTCGGTGTGCTCCAACGAAGGTTGTGCCATTGTCGGACATAATCCTCAGGGCAGACCCCTTCGACCGACGAATTTTGCGAAAGCTGCGCGAAATGCTTCTGTTGTGAGATTAGAGCACAATTCTAGATGCACAGCCTTGGTCGAGAAGCAAACAAAAACCGCGACATAACCTTTGAGAAAG